TTAGAGTGCTTCAAAGTCTGTCTTTCGTTTGTTCAAATTGATGGGTATTATCATCAAAGTAGTGACAATACATATTGACTATTACAGTCATTCAATTTCAGCTTATATATGCGTTGTGAATAATTCAGCTTGAGTTGATAGTTCCATTTGATGGAAACTTGTTCTCCCATTGGAAATAGCCTCATTATTAAGAGAGCAATTCGATTTATCTTTAACCTATGGCTGCTTTTTATAACGCTTTTTATTGTTCTATACATTTGTTTTCTTATGAACCATCGTCCTTATTCTATTATATGATCATCATTGACACTCTAAAATCCATCCCGTCATGACAACCTTTACAGCATCACTTACAATCAACTATGTTATGTTATACAAAACTATATAGCAGTTCAAAAAAAATTCACCTAGAACATATGGCTTAGTTTTATTCCTATTTGGCATTATATTTTAGCTCTATATTAGCATCATAACAGCACCATATTTTGTTCTTTGAATTCATTATTCCACAACTTAATTTGGGGTCTCATTAAATCAAAGGCGACAATATAAGAAACATGAAAAAGCCAATGAAAAAATTTACTAGCTAAGAATATATGCATCATTAAGTATATTCTAATGCTGTTTCAGGAAGTCTCATCCGAATTTTATGGTTTTTATCTTGTGAGTTTGTTTAGACTAAACACTACTTGGAGATAATTGGATAAACTAGTTTTCTTAACTTGTCAAGAGCTTAGATTAATATTTGAATGTGTCCCTGCCTTGAAGATGTCTGTCATATAGTAGGTGAAAGCTTAACACGTTTTAATCTAAATTTGAAAGTATCTATTTTACTGCGTTATCCTTAATATCCAAAGAAAACCATGCAACAGAATAAGGGGAATCCGTCGTCTTCTCATTCGATGGCCTATGAATCTCTTAATTACATTTTTACCAGCAACAAATTGCAAGTCAATATCTAATTTTTAAACTCCCTAAATTTATCGTATTTAGGTAGAGTTACTACTATGAAGAGTAAGTAATGTAGTCGATTGTTATAGCAAAAATGCGTTTGCTTCATCGATAATCCCAGCAAATAATGTGATATGGGAAAAGGCCTGGCCTTCCTTGAAATTCGCATCTGCCCTATGACTCGAGAGCACTCGTAGCAATGTGGCCGAATGGTTAGCCTTCATTTTCAAATGCTGCACTGTCACGGTTCGGCTCCCACTGGTAGTATTGATAAGACCTATGCGAGGTCAAAACTTCAGTCCACTCTGGATGGGAACAACTTTTGAGAAAGCAAGGCTATGTAAAATTCAATGGAAATGTCAGTTGTGGGAAAATTCTACTACCAGTCCTTCATCATCTTAAACGAAATAGGGTGAATACATCTCATCCCTAAATTACTATTTCTGCTGATTTGACTTAATTGCTTAACAGTTAAAATGCCCTTCTCATCATTACCACATGACGTTTTTTGTAGTAAAACAGTCATAGCCTTAATGCTTCGATAAATATAACATCGGGCCTTTTGTTTTTATATACTTCCGTTAATCCCTCGACTGAACATTTTTAATTCTTTAGTCCGTGACCTACGTAGGTATATCGTTATCAACAGGTAAAGTAGTTGCTTTGTATTATTTTATCTTGTTTCTTAACTACTCTAGTAATATATATCTTATACTAATTCTCGCACAATATATCTTGGAACATACCAAGACATTTGTGATGTTCCCTTGGTGTTAGTCGAAAAGAGCTCGGCAGCTGAACACCTTGCGTCGTCTTCGCACTCACTTGCTCCAGTGGCCACCGGTTCTTTTCTAAGCCGTCACGATCGCATTGTACCCAATGCCAAAAGCATTGGTGTAATCAGCTCTGCAGTTACGAGGAGGGCGGCTGCGGCAGCAGCTGCCGCTGCTAATTCAGCGCATATTGGAGCTTCTGGCATCACTAGTGTCACTCCCCCACAAACGCCTCTTGTGCCTGCCCTCCGTCTTGTGATCAAATCGGCTTCAGCAATAGCAGCTCGAAGTGCGCCTTCAACCCCGCAGGCTTCTAGTCGGCCTTTTTCTTCCGGCGCTCAAACGTCGATTTCTGATTCTCAAGCAGAAAGCATATCAATTACACGAGATGCGCTTGATGATTTTATCGTTAATACTGCTCATATCAAAGGCAGTTATAGCGCAGCCCCCATTAACAAAAATGTTTCCAATGGAATTGGATTTGGTTCTAGAGCTAAAGAGACAAG